ATCTGATTTGTTTCGTGTTTTGAGTTTGATTCTAAGACTCTGTTGTAATCATTTCTCCAGCGGAGGATAGCGAGATACAAAATTACAGCGTAAGGTTCGATAATGATCTATAGCCGCAGCGGGCGAGCTGAAATATTACTGAGTCTACATAGACGTACACATCGAACTCTTAGAAGGTTTTTGGATATTAAATCATCAAGAACGTTTAACTGATGCGCTGCTGATAGAAGCACCGTCGAAACGTTTGGAAGTGGTGGTTAATTAATTAATCCTGGTTAAACTAAATTTCATCTGGAATAACCTTTAATCCTTAGCCACTTACTTTTTATCCGTATTACGCTCTAATCTGGATGGTCCTGTTGGAATGTCCAAGGTCTGCGGCCAAAATGTTTGCGTGTTCAAGGCTTTAATACACCCTCCAGAATATTTTCGCGATTCAGCATTTAGTCTATTCAGCATTTAGTCTGATGATATTCGATTAATACTAGCGAAGAGCTGCCATCGGCTGTTATGGCGGCCCACACCATCACCATGGATGGCGCGTGAGTTTTGGTGGCCAACCGAAGGTTCACATTTTCAGTTGACCTCTTTGGCAAGAAAACACGATCATTTTGTTTGTTTACAAACTACACAACGAATGTTTTCGGCCATGCTCTTTAGCTATTTTCAGTCTGCTGGACAACGAATGTTTTCTCATCGAAGAAAACAAAATTCGACAGTTCACCATTTTCGGCCATGCTCTTTAGCTCTTTTCAGTCTATTTTCTTTCTGTTCCATCACGAATAAGTTTTTTTTCCGGAAAATTCTTACCAACGACGAGTGACTTAGAAATGACAGCAGTCTGAAGTTGATTGCAGTTTTTTCATCTCACCCTGTATAATAAGGAAGATATGTACCGATTGGATTTATCCTAGTTCATGCGATAAATATACAATCACAGAGAAACGTCCCAAAATTTGGATTTGATTGGTGTATTAGTTTTGGATTTATCGGGCCCGCCATTCGCAAAAACGCTGCTTGGAGAAAAAAGCGTTTAAAGTTTATGAGCCCTCTTGCCTTCACATGATGCTAACACAATAAATTGGCTGTATCTTCAAAATTGTTGAGATTTCCACTTGAAATTTGATAGTTGCATTCTTGAAATAGTCTAGGTTCGATATCAATAAAAAATATAAAGTTAAATTTTTTTGAAACCGAGAATATTAGGCGAATAGAATGTCCGATTTGAACCAAATATTGCACAACCTAGTATCTTTACTAAGCCTTGATCAAGTCCGTAGATGGGACCCATTCGTCCACTTCTTCTATAACCTTCCCCACAAATGGTCAAAATGTTCAATATTTATAAATTAAATTTCAGGCGAATGGAAAGTCCGATTAGAACCAAGTTTTGCACAACCTATTATCATTACCAATCCTAAAGACCTTTTTCTTGTACCTCCCCCCACAAATATATTATAAACTTGAAAATTAAATTTGAAGCGAACAATAAAACATTCCGAAAACCTCCGCAAACCATAGGCTGAGGATATATCTGTCGACATTACCTCAGCAAACCATAGGTTGATGATATATATCTTTCGATATTACCGGCTGACACTTTATTACTTGTTTTCGGTAGGATGTTTCATAGGACCAAATCCGTTTCAGACAATTTGGAGTCTATTTACAAATGTCTGTCCATCATGCGAACGGATTTAACTAAACTTTGCACAACCTATTATCTTTTCCAACAGTAGATCAACTCCGAAGGACCCATTGGTCCACTCCTTCTGGTAACTCCCCCACGAATGTTCAAAATTATAATCTCGTAAATTTTATTTTATAATCTCGTTATTTGTTGATGCAACGTCGAGCCGTTTAAGACCTGTATTTCAACGCCTTTCAAATGATACCAAGCAGGTAAAAGCACTATAGAACCGCTAAAAAGCGGTAATTCAAAAATACGACCTTAAAATGACCTTTAATTCGGTGTCAAGATCATAAATCCGTATTAAGGTTAAATTCGGGCTCATTGACATTTAACCGGACTAAACTTTAACACATTAACAATCTCTAATAAGGATCAATCCTTAATCAATGATCTTTATTCTGGGGGTAAATAACATATAATACAACCGGATTGACCCATAATCCGATTGTAATGGTCCTTAATCCAGGGATTAACATTAATCCAGGGATTGGGATTAATCCAGATTACACATTAAGCTTCGGGGAGATGGTGGTTAGACCGTTTCTAAGTGTTGATTAAATAAAAACGGCCCTGGATTTTCCCAGAAAATTGCAGTGATTTGAGAAGCTTCTTCCTACTTCTCAGTTTATCGCAAATAGCTGCGGTGTGCGCCGATTACTTGAAAAGGGCGTAGAACTTAATTACTTAGCTGGTTTGTGATAGAGCAATTTGTTCCATAAGCCATGCTTAAAAATATTTCCAGGCCCATCGGTGTCGTGAGCAGCTCTTCCAATTTAAAAGACCATGTTCCGAAATTTTGTCTTCCATTTGAATTTTTCCATCGAATTCATCGTCTTCCTCTACTGCGTGAACCTGTTGGCTTGCTTTTTTATGCCTTGTGAGCTGGGACATCCACATCTATTCTCACAAAATGACTTAGCCACCGTAGTTGCTGTAGCTCGATGCGTCTATGTCTATGTCCATGTCCATGAATAGATGATACAACTCATGGTTCATTCATCTACAGATAGTAGATCTTTCAGAGTATTTTCTCTCAAACACTCCACCAGCATGGGTAATATTGGTCGTCGAGTGGTGGCCTTGTTTCAAAATTGCTGACTTACACAATAGTAGCATCTGTTGGCCGACACTATCCTTCTCCGAATATAAACACTGATGTTTTATTTATGGCGGTACTAAAGTGTATAAAATCTTTGATTTCCTCGAAGCTGTAGTTTTCAAGTTCCACAGTTGGTCCGAGTCATTTGGACGTCTTGCGCGTGCATACCATCAGCTTGGCCTTCTCTGTATTTAAACATAAAACATATCCTTCTTATATCTCAAGTCCCCAGTAAGGAAAGTAGTAAAGTCGGACTGGGCCGACTATATGATACCCGTACCACTTTGGGTATATTCCACATATATTGACTAATTTAAATCTAAATCTAACCCGATTTTCACGAAACTTAGCACACATCATTCTGGGCCTAATTCAGTACCCTGTGCCTAATTTCGTGCAAATCGAAAGATATATAGGGACTTTGGTGGCCCATTTACCTTAAATCGGACGAAACTATATACGGGAGCTATATCTAAATCTGAACCGATTTTTACGAAACTTAACACACGTCATTCTAGTCTCAATTTAGGACACTATACAAAATTTCGCCCCAATCATAAGCGCCCATGGTGCACCATTTACATAAAATCGAACAAAACTACATATGGGAGCTATATCTATATCTGGGCCGATTTTCTCGAAATTTAACACACGTCATTCTAGACTCAACTGAGTACACCGTGCCAAATTTCGTGCAAATCGAAAGACATATAGAGGCGTTGGTGCACCATTAACATAAAATCGGACAAAACTGTATATGGGAGCTATATCTAAATCTGAACCGATTTTCACGAAACTTTGCACACATTATTCTGGACCTAATTCAGAACTCTATGCCAAATTTCATGCAAATCGAAGGATATATAGCGACGTTGGTGCCCCATTTACCTTAAATCGGACGTAGATATATACGGGAGCTATATATAAATCTGAGCTGATCATCTCAAAACCTGGTACTCATCATTCTAGACATAATTCAGTATACTATGCAAAATTTCGTGCAAGTCGAAAGATATATAGGGACTTGTGTGCACCATTTACATAAAATCTGACAAAAATCTATATGGAAGCTATATCTAATTCTCAACCGATTTCCACGAAACTTAGCACACATTATTCTGGACCTAATTCAGAACTCAATGCCAGATTTCATGCAAATCGAAAGATATATGGTGCCCCATTTACCTTAAATCGGACGAAAATATATATGGGAGCTATATCTAACTCTAAACCGATTTTTTCCAATTTCAATAGGGTTCGTCCTTGGTCGAAATAAGTGATCTGTGCCAAGTTTCATTCAAATCGGATCATTGTTTACAATTTAACATCTACAAACGGACAGACGGATGGGCAGACGAACATTCATAAATCGATTTAGATAGTGATTCTATGCATATTCTCAAACGGAACCATGTGTCTATCTCGTTTTCTTTTGCCTGTTACAAACATATGCACAAAGACATAATACCCTGTACCACAGTGTGGTAAACGGTATAAATATGTTTTGAAACTAAATTCTACACCACGAGTTTTTTTTCGACCTTGAAATATTCTACAAAAATGTTCCTCATAAGATTTTAGATAGTGTCTTCACAGACATGTAATCTATATGTTTTCTTCGTCCTTTTCCACTTTTAACCGAACCTTACTTAGAAAACCATATATCTGCGAACAAAGATGAATGTCGAATAAATTGTAAGAGCTGTCAGATTTGTCCGAAATATTTACCATTAATATATTATATTATACCAACCACGCTAATAACTTTTATTAGCCAGATACGGATTCGGATTCCAAAATTTTGTAAGCGGGGTTTCTGATATTAAATCCGGGTTTGGACCAATTTTAATCATGTGCATGTCATTTAAAAACTAAAAACATTGCCAATCACATGATGTACATTTTATGCCTAAGACCTATCGGTATTCAATTAAGGTTAGAAACAAATTATTTGAAATTAATTTCACTTTAAAACTTTTTGTTACAAATTCCCATATTCCAATTTTCTCTTTTTATTTTCTATTTTTATTTTTATTTTCTATTTTTAATTTATTCTGTGTAAAATTTTGTTCCTTTTTGTTTAAAACTTGTTGTTTAAATTTCCATTACATTTTATTATCTCTCGGCATTTGCTGCTACATCATTTGTTTTAATACGATTTTTTTTATTTCAAATTTTCTTTTTATCTTCATCTATTTTCATTTCTAGGAGGAACTATCCAACAAATGGGCAGAAATGGCTGGTGAATTATCACAACTTTTGGCCACTGAATTGCAAATAGCTGAAGAAGATCAGCCCATACCTTTCGATTCTGCCTCGGATGTGCCCATCGATGATCAAAAGTAGGTCAATTTACCTTTAGTAAAAAATACGTATATAAAACAAACATACACACACACACAAACGTGATTTGCACAAATGGATAAGTATATTTGTTCAATGTTACAAACAAACCAATAAAATGGCAGGTAATAACAAATGTAAAACTTGTGGCAACTGTTAGGATTGCAACAAACATTTGACAGTGGAAGCCATTTTATGATAAACACCAATATTTATTTAAAAATTGCTATTAATTCTTTATATATTGTTAAAAAAGATCCTTTATTTATATATATTTTTTCAATATTAAAGACATTCCAACATTCACTTCGATCGGACCCACTGTACTTCTCTAACTTTTTTACTTTATTTCCATCGTAAAAGAAACTATTTTTTTCCTGTCCTTTTTTATAATTTGTTACTATATTGGCTTTTCGGTCGCTCGGCCTGACGCCCCCCCAACAAATAGCAGTCAATGCAGATAGCAATTTCTAGATAATTAAACATTATTTTCTCTTCTTTGGTCGAATGTGGATGGATACGTTTGACCTAATTCGAAATTTGTTTGTTATTGAAATTGAAATGTTCTAGCAAATCAATTGCAATTTATTTGCCATTGAGTTGTAAGTTTTTTTGTAAGATTGTTAAAATTTGGAAAGTTCATGTTCTCGGGAGATTTAATTGGCAATCCGATGCGTTAACAAGGAACTATACCTTACACTCAATGGTTATTCGAATTGATTTTAGGTCGTCAAAGAGGTTCTGCAACAAAAGAAATGTTAGTTTTGTTGTGAGAGGAAAACCTTTCATTCTCATGTAGAAAAGCGATCTATCGGTCTGCCATGTGAGATTTTTCACCTGGCCTTCGAACATCTGGTATTCTAGAGAAATTTGACTTTTATAATTCTGTTAGAAACTTTCCCGTCTCGTGTATGGAGTCCTCTGTAAAGTCGCCCTCTTTACAGAGGTTGGCACGCTCAACCTCTACAAGCTCAGCTTTGACATCGGCTACTGAAAATATACCAGCGGACTTTTCTCTAAACGCTCCCAACTCTATTAACCCCGATGACTTACGGACCTTTTCTTTAATCTAATCGAGGAAGCCGGTTCCTTCCGCCTCAGTCAAGGAAGTATCCCGACCCATATCTGAGTTGACTGGCCCTTGACGGACGAGGAAGACGATAATCCAAGTAACTCCTCTAATTCATGGGACCTTCGAGGGGTCCCTGAAAATCTCTGACAAAAAAGATCATACATAATGGCAGTAAACTACTGCAACCGATTCTTCGAACTGTTTAAGGACTCAATTATCGATAAAGAATTCCTACAGATTAAAGGGAACCTCAAATTTTGTCGAAAGTTCTCACAGAATTATCACCTCCAACGAAGGAGAAAATAGCGAGTAGCCTGCCATCAAACGAGAAAATAATGCCTGTGGCTTCTGATCAATCAGGACCATCGGCGGTCCATGCAAATCTCCGACAAAAAGATCTACAAGATGGCCGTTAACCACTGTAAACGATTCTTCGAACGGGTTAGAGACTTGATTATTGATAATGAATTCCTAAAGGTCACGGGGGACCTCAAATTTAGTCGAAAGTTCTTACAGAATTATCAGCTCAAACCAAGGAGGAAGCAGCGAGTAGCCGAAGCTCAAACGGGAAAATAACGCCAGTGACTTCTGATCAATTGGAAATCTCCGACAAAAAGATCTACAAGATGGAGGTTAACTACTGCAACTGATTCTTCGAACGGGTTAGATACTCGATTATCTATTTTGAGTTCCTAAATATCAAGGGACACCTCAAATTTAGTCGAAAGTTCCCAAAGGACTATCCACTCCAACGAAGGAGAGCACAGAGAGTGGCTAAAACTGAAACGGGATAATAATGCCTGTAACTTCTGCGAACCTCGTGACCTTCGAGGGAGGTATAGGTTACCTATTGCAACTGATTCTTCGAACGGGTTAGAGACTCGATTATCTATTATAAGTTCTCAAATATCAAGGGGAACCTCAGAGAAAACGGCCAGTAGCCTGAGAACATCTGATCAATCGGGACCATTGAGGGGGTCTCTGAATATTGAGAAGATATTGAAATCATATTTTACGGCAAAGTACAGTTGTGTCGAAGACGACTAGAAGAAGAGTCCATAAAAAGGCCTCTTGAAATGGGGGTAAACATACAATTACCTCAGCAAAATCAAATTCCCCAAATCCACCTGCTGTAGTTGTGCAAAAACCGCATAACCAGGGTTATGAAAATAGAGCTGTTTTTGCTGGATAAACACAAACAACCACACAACGTGGTGAATGCGACGCAGGAAGCCCGACTTCAGCGTCAGTTACAATTCTGGGGACTGTGATTGCGAAATAGAAGTGGTCCTCAGATGAACAGCAAACCTGCTGAGAAGTGAAAAGCCTTGAAGTCTCTCGATGCACGGCAAACTGCGTAGGTTACGTCGAGGAAGGTAGGATACGACAAGGAAGACCTCGTCTAAAAGCGGTAAGGAACAGGCGAAAGAAGAATCTCAGAAGTCGTCGTCGAAGCATGGTTACACTGTTGCTCAATCAGAGGCTCCTAAAGTCATTGGAATGGCAATCATTGATCCAACTGATACTGTCGAGCCTTGGTTTGGCTAGATTACCATGAACAAAAGGTTCAACGTCATTAACTTTGAAGCAAAGGAGTTCTCAGGCTTCCTTAATGATATGACCCCTTTTGAGGTCGCTGGGCAAATTGCTTCATTTGAATACAGAATACAAAACTCATAAGGAAGATGTGTGATAAAGAAGATGTGAAAGTCAATCCCTTACGAAGCAAGAGTCCGCGAGGCCGTCACCGAGCACTTTGTACAAAGGAGTCAAGGTCTTTACCTGTGGAGCAAAGGAGTTGACATGACCCCTTTTGGAAGAGTATGGAACTGCGAAGAGACCCTCAATGTCGCTCGATACAAGACAAACTGCTTCGGTTGCAACGAGGAAGACTCCTGCTATGAACGGTAAGGAGGATGCGAAAAACAAACCTGCCTTTTCGAAGCAAGAGTATCCGAGGCCGTCGCAGAAGCATGGTCACACTGCTGCTCCACAACGCTCTCCAGAAGACTTACGATTGACAATCATTGGATCGAGCTGATGGCAATGGGTACATTAGTGAAGATTATTGGTTGTCAGTCGATATGTATTTGAAGGTCACTTTGTATAAAAAGAGTCAAGTCATTAACTGTGGAGACTTGAATGGGAAGAAACCTGTATAGGTTGAACACAATCCGAACTTTTATCGATTTTGTCGCACAGTGTAAGGCATGCGAAAGTCCTGAGATTTCTGGAAGATTGTCTGGTGATAAGCTTATAAAGATTCAGCTTATCAATAACGACTTATTACCTTCGTTCAGATTGCTCCTACAAATCGCATTTATAACTCGATAATTTTTATATTATATCCCTTGTCGTCCAGCTTGTTTATATGAAATCAGTGGTCGACTGTTTTCTGTTAAGGCCTCTGGTTGCCTTAACGGGCATACTCGGCCCTCAACTCGTTTACATAGACCTTCGGACCATTGCTCAAGCTCATCTAGGTGCTACCCTGCCGCTCGTTTATATAGACTTAATGGTATGTCCTGCATATTTTAAAAATGACTTTCAGCTCTAATCGCTTACCTTAAGCTCGTGTATCTTCATACACCCTGACATCCAGCTCGTCTCTAAAGTCTTTCAGTTCTGCAGTCATTTTTACTTTGAGTTCATTTATGAAAAATCATACAAAGCATATCAGTTCTCTAATTCTTTTTTAAAGACTACTGATTGGTCCTTAAATCGGGAGATATAAGTTCTCTGGTTTTCAGTTCCTTCAAAACGGCCCTTCAATTTGGCTATAAAATATGTTATGCGAGAAGATCACCCTGTGTGTTCCTGGTAGCAATTTGCCGGATATTATTTAATTTTAATTCATTAATAAAGAGCTTGATTTTTTTGGATCCCTTGTATAAAACCTGAAATATATTTTTGGTATGGCACACGCACAGTCTCCCTTTGGGTTATTTAGAAATATTAAAATTTTCAGTTTTATTATGGCTGGAGCCAATTGTCAAAATAGCTCTTTCGAGGGACTAACAGCTTTTGTAGACTTGATACATAGACAACTATATTTTCGAACAGCAAATAATTGTCATCAACTAATTGAAATATCATAGCAGTATAAGGCGCACTTTGTTTCATTTCCAAATCATTCGCAACCCCCTTAGCTTTACCCTCTCCACAAAAATGGCCTTGCAAATTCCACAGTTCATTGAACTTTATCTTTTGAAAATGACGATATGCCTTTGATTTACTTGATTGAAATGTGCAGTGTCAAGGACGATATTCTCGTAATTCGAGAGTACATCAAAACTATCAGATTTCTTTGACACGAATAATAGCTTTATTTTATCATGCCTGAAATAAAGAAGACTGCTGCTGCTTTCCTTCGTGTTGTCATATCATTTTAATTTGATTAAATCTCATATGCTCCGCCTCATATTCCGATGAAAATCGTAAGTGAAAGTATAGCCTGGAATATTGGAAAAAGTAAAGGCACCACTCGCACACACAAACACACAGAAACACCCCCTTTGATAGATATAATTTCATTATTTTAAGTTTTACAGTGTCGTTGACAAACAAAGAGAAAGTCACAGATGGTGGGGGCTGGTGTTGGATCTGATATTCATTATTTTTAAATATTGAATTCATATATTATCAAGTTCGAAGAATTTTTTCTTTAACTAAGAGATATTGAATTTATAAAGGTGAATATAAGAAAAAAATCGAGTTAAGGAGGCACGATTGTGGTTGTCGATGAGGGAAAGAGGCAGGTAGTCTTTTTAGACTAGTTGGAAGCCATGGAGCGTTGATAGATGAGCTGAGATGTAAGTTAGACTATATAGATGAACTGAATGGTCAGAGAGTCTATATAGACAAGCCGAAGGACCAGTGAGTCTCTATATGCGATATTAAGGAACAATAAGACCATAATAGCAAGCT